GGGACAGCCAAACCAATATCCAAACCACAGCAAGTATATAGAAATATATATATTAGGGACACCAAATCTTGGCACTTAAGGTCTTTTGATCAGATTTGTGACACTGATTTGTTATTTAGGGAATGATTCATCAGACCTTAGAGGAGTCTAAAAACCCAACTTAACTGCTAATGTTAAGCAATTATATATTGAGAGCTGTACACACATTCTACATCTTTATCCTTCATAGGAAAGTACAGAAGTTTCTATCTAAAGGACACTCAGTAATTTATACTTCCAGATTTCAAGAGCAAAACCATGAAGGCTTAAAAAGCTACAGATTTTGGAATAATTATTACTTCTTCCTGAGACAGACTGTTCATCTTGTTACATGACCAAGAAGAGTGAGGAATATTCTCTCTTTTTCCCTCTTCCTTGCCAACTCCTTAGTAAGAGGCTCCTTATATAGGTTATTTCCTTTTTGATTATTTCTTGAACAATTCTTCACTGGATAATTTACCCTTGAAAAATTTTACACGTTTCTTGCTAGAGGAAATCAAAATACTGTAAAGAACTTTACTCTTTGAAAATAAGTTTGGCATGAAAGATTATTTTTATGATAATGATTTTATAAAATGGTGGTATTTAAATACTTTAATATTTTTTAATGAAAAGAATACAAACTTTTTAAAGAAATGAAATCACCTATAGCCTATTATCCTACTCGAGTAACTTTTCATTTTTGCATATTTCCTCTGCCTGTATGGCACAAACCTATAGGGCTAAAAGGTATTTAAAAATCAAATGGTTTTTATAACTATAACACTCTAATTTTTTTAAAAAAATTAAATGGTTCCATTTCTTAATTTTCAGACGAGAAAACTGAGACCCAGAAAGCTATGAGTTCAGCCCAGGGTCATACCTTATTATCTCCTCTAAAAGCAATTTAAATGGTAAATTAATAAAAAAAATAGTTGATAATAAAATATTACTCCCTAATTGCCATTTTTCTCCACTGAGAATGCAGCTGGAAGGGGGAAAATAACCCTATTATGCAATACAATATCATCATTATCAGAGGCAATGTCTGGAGAATTTCAGCTGCAAAATCTGGATGTCTAAATAAAAATTCCTCAAATCTAGGAAGCTTTAAAAAACAAATGGGAATTCAAAGCCTTTAGATCTTAGGATTTGGATTCAAAGTTCATGTATTTGCTCTACACTGCTACTACTGCCATCGCCTGCAGATTGTTGATTCTGGAGTGCAACCTTCTTGATAAAAAGGCAAATTATATGTCTTAAAGAGGCACCTAATTGAGGCTTTCTCTCCCACTGTAATTCAAAGAATTGAAATAGCATTGAGAAGGGGAGTGCTTTGTAGGGAATGTGGATGGCTTTCAAAACAACTATGTTACAAACAGTTTAGATTCACATTAGTGGAATTCTTAATGTGCTACAGCAGAAAAAGGCCTAAAATGGGAATAAAAAAACCACAGTTCTGATAGAAGTCTGCCACTAACCAGGAAGGTAGGGACAAGTGTTTTTGTCAGCTTTTTTATCATTGTGACCAAAAGATCTGACAAGAAAAACAGAGGAGGAAAAGTTTGTTTTTTTTTTTTCCCCCTCACAGTTTCAGAGTTCTCAGTCCACAGACTCCATAGCTGTGGGTCCAAGGTGAGGCATCATGGCAGAAGGACATGGTAGAAGAAAGCAGGTCAGGACACAGCGAGCAGGAAGCAGAGAGAGAGCTCTGCTCACCTGGGACAAATTATAAACCCTAAAAGCACATCACCCACTTCCTCCAGTCCTTTTCTACCTACCTATAGTTACCTCCAGTTAATCCATATCAATGGATTAATCTATTGATTAGGTTACAACTTTCACATTCCAACCATTCCATCTCTGAACAATTCTTGCATTGTCTCACACAAATCTAAACTATAAAAGCAAGATGTTTATTTTTCAAATTTTGTTGATAAAATGAGATTAGTGTAGGTGATCTCGGAGTTCTTACCCAGCTATAAAATTCTATGATTCTTTTCTCCATAAATGGAAAAGATACCCTGTATTTCAGTCCCTGGGAAACCCCAGGTGTGAAGAGTTGTCTTTATTAACAAGGCTCTAATATTCTTTTGTTCTCATCTGAGGTAAGCCCTGGGCAGAAACCTGGCCCTTCTTTGGCACCCTGTCCTTCACCTCCCACCTTCATACCCTACCTGTAACAAAACCCCATTGTCTTTTATGTTTCATCACTGTATCTTCTCCATCCACTCTACCAACACTTCAGTACTCGTTGTTTTATCTGAACAATAGAATAAGTGACCACTTTTCTAAAGTTCATCTCAAATTATAATATGCTGCTATTGGCCTCCGTTTTATTAAGATTTACATACCCATTGCAGTGACCCTTGATTTCTCTTACTCTCATACTCCATAATCAATCTGTCAGCAAATCCTATTGGTTTTTTCTTCAAAATATGTCAAAAATATGACCCCATCTCCACTGTTAAGCCAGGTCCACATAGCAAGAACAGATCTCCTTGCTTTTGCCCTATCCCCATTTAGTCTACTCTAAACATAACATCCAATGCGATCAAATTAAAACATTAAGCCACATCATGTCACTCCTCTGTTCAATGTGAAATCCCTTACCTACAAAGTCTTAGGTGACATACTTATTGTTACCAATCTAATTCCATTTTCCACTATGCTCCCTGTTATGGTTTTGGGTCTGGAATGTCTCCCAAAGCTCGTTTTGAAAATATGATCCCCAGTACAGAAAGGTTCAGAGCCGGAGCTTTTAGGAAATGGTGGATTATGAGGCCTATAACCTCGTCAGTGGATTAATCTATTTGATGGATTAGTAATTTGAAGACTACTGGGTGGTAATTGTTGGCAGATGGGGCATGGCTGGAAAAGTAGATCACTGGAGTGTATCTTTTAACAATTTTTTTTAGATGCTGATGAACTTTTATTTTATTCATTTATTTATGTCATGCTGAGAACTGAACCCAGTGCCTCACACATGCCAGGCAACTGCTCTGCCACTGAGCCACGACTCCAGCCCTATGGTGTATCTTTGAGGATTTATATCTTGTCTCTGGCTTCTCTGTCTCCACATGCTTCTAGGCTGCCAGGAGCTGAGCAGATTTCCCTACCATGCTTTTCTGCCACGATGTTTCTGCCTTGGAGCCTGCTGACCATAGAATGAACCTCTGAAACTGTGAGCCAAAAGAAATCTTTCTTCAAGTTGTATTTTTGGTCACAGACACAGAAAAGCTAATACCTCCCTGCCTCTGTTCAGCTGCTCAGACCCTCTTACCATTCCTCCAGTATGCTAGAAACAGGACCATTTGTGGTGGTTTCACATTTGCTTTTTTTCCTGCAATGGAATACTTTTTGTCCAGAAAGCTGAATGGCCAATTACATCACATTGTCACTTAACGCCACCATCATTTTCTCAGGAGCTGTCTGTGGTCATTCTGTCATCCTTTCTAAAAGCCTTCGGTTTTATTTTCACCTCAGCTTTATCAATATCTAACATACAGCATGTTTTGCTTGTTTTTTCTTCTTATTGTCTCTCTTCCTCAGAGATAGAGACTTTTGTCTGTTTTATTGTTATGTCCTAAGAACCCAGAACAGTGCCTTGCATAGTGAGTGCTCAATAAATATTTGTTATTGAACTGTAGAAGATCTGTACCAAGTAAAGCATAATATCATACAAAGATGGAGACAGACACTAGATAAAATGTTTGCTAATGGCAAAACAAAATTTGACCATCCATCTTCTTGACCTTGTGTAATAAACTCCGTGCCTTTTGTTTTGATGTATTCTACCTTTCTTGCCAAATGCTTTAAATGTAAAAAAAAAAAAAATTCTTCATTAGTAAAGCTTTAATTTGGTCATTAGGGAATGAATTCCATCTTATTTTCCAAATGTTATCTTGTGCACTTTACTAAGTTATAGAGAACAAACAGGTAGGGTCTATTATTTTAGATAGAAAATTCCAAGTCCTAGCCGTTGGTGCTCAAAGTACTCAAAATTCTATGGTTATAATATATAACATCAAGAGAAATATGCGACAATTATTTGTGATAATGAAATAAAATAATATGCTAAATCAAACTATCTTGAATAAGAGGTAGTAGGAACTTCATTTTTCCCCCGCCACTTTTTTCCTTTATCAGAAAGTTGTCCTGGGGGCACACGGAAGAGGTTCGATTTATGTCGGTTTAATTAATATTGATTGGATTGTTTTCCCCAAAAAAGGCATCTAGATTATTTGGTGGAGCAAATCCACGCAATCCTGCGTTTCTGTGGACCTGAGAGTGTCGGCCGGGAAACTCCGGGAGGGACGTCCTCACTCAAGGAAGAAGACAATGGGAAGACTTCTGCGGGCGTCGCCGCCTGCGTTAAAGTCCCAAGAGAAAACTGCTGAGGGGGGCTCCAGGGTATGAGGGCGCGACGCCTCCGCGCTCGGTCCGAAAGGCTTCGACCCTCGTCCTCCCGCTTGGCGGGACCTTCTTACGCTGGGGAGCGCGCACAGCCACCGCTCCTGGCGGTAGGCGGTGGGCCTGGCCCGTTAGCTGCGAGCGCCGCCCGCAAGTCCTACAGCCGCGCCGCGCCCCGAGCCGGGTGGGGGGAGGGGCGGAGGCTGGCGCAGCGTCGAGTTTCCCAGAATTCCCAGCGGTCGCGGGGAAAGTTTACGGGACGCAGGCGGCGGCGACGGCCGCGGCAGCAGCAGTAGTAGCGGTTACTAGGCTGCCCGCGGCGGACCATGGCCCTGGCCCAGCGTCCTTGGCCTCTCCTCACGGCGTCCCCGGGCAGCGTCGCAGCGAGGAGAGACTTCCGGGAAGGAACTGACATGCGACTGAGCGGCGGTCGGCGCGCTTAGCGCCGCGAACATGCGGCAGTCCTTGCGGGCGACCCCGGGCTGCGGAGAGGAGGCGGCGGCGGCGGCTCGGGAGGGAAGGTGGCGCCGGCGGAGGTGGCGGCGGAGACGGCCGGCGCCTGGCGCGGAGCCCTAGGGAGGCTGCTTGGCGCGGCCTCGGGCCTCCTCGAAAAGGATGCTGTCCCGAAAGAAAACCAAAAACGAAGTGTCCAAGCCGGCCGAGGTGCAGGGGAAGTACGTGAAGAAGGAGACGTCGCCTCTGCTGCGGAGTGAGTGTCGGCAGCGAGACGCGCCCACACCTGGCCGGGCGGTCACGGGCAGCGGGGATCGGGCTGGGGCGCCCGGCGGGACTGCTCCGTCCACTTTGATCCTGGGAAGTAGTTTGTTTTTTTCTTGTGGTTGAATTGTTTATTCATTGAAAGTCGGTGAGGAGTAGGAAAGGAGTTCGTCTACTGTCCCTCGACTCCCCCTAAAAATAAACTTCCCTGCCTCCCATGACAGTGTTGATGTTTTGAAATACTGAAAAAGACTGTAGGAAATAACTTGCTAATTCCCTCATGCCGTAGGAATAAAAGTGATTAGACGGGGATATTTTTTCCTCTTCTAAATATGTCGAGATGTGCCTTTGTTTGCAAACACTGTGGGTGTCACTCGCCCGTGCCCCAAGTAGTGTAAACTCTGGGGACAGATTTCAGTCCTGCTGCAGGACTTGGATCTGAGAAAGGTAAAAAGCAGACCATCGCTCTTTGTAGTGCTACCCAAAGCCTCATCACTCTTAGATCTCAGAGTAGGGGAGCCAAAATAATTTGTATTTTGGCCATATTCGTGAGATTACAAAAAGGCAAACTTCTCAAAAATGATTTCTCTCGCATCAGGAAAGTTATTACCAAGATCTTTTCTTTGTCTTACTTCTAATAGGGCATATTTTCTCCTCACCTGCTTTTCTTGTCAATTTAAATATTTGACTCATTTTTGGGCTGAATTTCTTAGTGTTTAGGACGTTCTGTTCGTGAAGTAAGGAGTTAATCTTTCGGTGCTCATACTGCGTGCTGGGCTCTTTGTGTAATTTTCCTTCTTGGAAGCTGGTAGTAACCTTGTGATTTAAGCATTACCTCATATTGTAATTGGGAAAGCTGTTCATAGAGGTTCCTAGTATTTGCCCAAGATCACACAGAAAGGGGTGGAGAGCATGCTTTTCCATTATGTCCACATCATTAGCTTTATAGATTTATTGTAGTAATTGTTGTGCTTTCAACAAAATATATGAGATGGGTGTATCAATAACTTGAAAGTTGATTTTTAAACTTGTTTTTAACAGCTTGGTTTTAAGTTGTACATGCTGTTACGCTTTTAGGTGTTTTTAAATGATAGCTTGCTGTTTGCTGTAAATAAGGTTTATTAAACATTACTTGAAATCATGGCATATGTCACATCATTTAAGCAAATAATGAAACTGTATTTTGTTTCCGTAAAGTGTTAGCCTTATTTATTCCAATCTTAATTTGTTTCAGTGTTAACTTATGAAGCTTATTAATAGTGCCCTTATGTGTTGTTTATTTAATAAACTAATAAAATGGGTTCCATATCCAGTTTTCTTCATGTTTTAAAGGTATTTGCTTACCAAGAATGTCTAAGCTATTTTCACATTGTATTCAGTAGTGCTATTGTCTTGAAAGCCATTGTTCTGCCATTATCTTCTGTTTTAAATTGTAATTATTTATTCTTAAAGGAGCTATAATTTGAGGCTTGGTGTTTATGTTCTTCTTTCAAATGAGATCTTTTTAATTTTCATACCTAAATTTTTGACTTTCTAGTTTTCATTTACTAGTACTAGTTAATTCCAAGAGTAGAAACACAATTACTAACTATAAAATATTTTTCTTGTTTTTTTTTTTTTTAATATTGGGGATTAAAGTCAGGGGCTCTTTGCCACTGAGTTACAGCCCCAAGCTCCCTTCCTTTTTTTTTGGAGACTGGGTCTCTAAGTTGATGGGACTGGCTTTGAACTTGGAATCATCCTACCTCAGCCTCCTGAGTCACTGAAATTACAGCCTAATTTTAAAATCTTTTAAAAGAAATTCAAATTATCTTTGAAATCATGTTTGCCAAAAGAAGGAATTTTGGCAATTTCTAAAATGGAGTTTTAGAAACAAAACAGAGTATAGTCACACATGCTGTAGACTGTATTCTGATTTGTTAAATTATTTTCTATTTTATGCATTACTTCATGAGTATTTCATTATTATTTAGTTCATAGATAAGCTTATTGACATTTCATCATATTATGTATGGTAGTGTGCAGAATACATTTGGTTCTGGCTAAGCTAACACATAGCATATACATGCAAATTATAAATTCACTTGGGTAGGAAAATAATAATCTTCCTCAATTTAAAACACCCAAGTACTATCTTAAATTAAAATTAAAATTTTGTTTCCTTAAGTCCATTGGTATTTTGATTTTTGAGTGGTAGATGTAAATGAACAGCTTTAGAAAAGTTTATTGAAATTGTAATTTTCCTCTTTTATTATAGATCTCATGCCTTCATTCATCCGGCATGGTCCAACAATTCCAAGACGAATTGATATCTGTCTTCCAGATTCAAGCTCTAATGCTTTTTCAGCTTCTGGAGATGGAGTAGTTTCAAGAAACCAGAGTTTTCTTAGAACTCCAATTCAAAGAACACCTCATGAAATAATGAGAAGAGAAAGCAACAGATTATCTGCACCTTCTTATCTTGCCAGGAGTTTAGCAGATGTACCTAGGGAGTATGGCTCATCTCAGTCATTTTTGACAGAAGTTAATTTTACTGTTGAAAATGGAGACTCTGGTTCCCGATATTATTACTCCGATAATTTTTTTGATGGTCAGAGAAGGCGTCCACTTGGAGATCGTGCACATGAAGACTACAGATATTATGAGTACAATCATGATCTCTTCCAAAGAATGCCACAGAATCAGGGGAGGCATGCTTCAGGTAACTTAATGTTATAGATACACATTAGTTTATACTGATACTATATTAGTTTATACTATATTAGTTTATACATGCTTCAGGTAACTAATGTTATAGATACTATATTAGTTTATATTGAAATTGACATTTCAATATAAAAGATGCTCTTTTGGATTTTCCTGGGAAGCCAACAAATAACTCTTAGAGAAGTTTTTTCCATTTCCCATTTTGTCAGTCTTAATTCTTCCTGCTTCCAAGTAGTTACCAAACTATACTGAATGACAGAATTATTGTGTCCATTTATTTTATTTTATTTATTAAATACTTTTTTAGCTGTAGGTGGACTTTTATTTATTTTATGTGTGGTGCTGAGAATTGAACCCAGGGCCTCACACATGCTAGGCAAGTGCTTTACCTGAGCTACAACCCCAGCCCTGTGTCCATTTATTTTATTAATTGATGTTATATTAAGTTTATTAACTTGGTACTTATCTCAAGACCATCTAGACTATTAATTTCTTAAAACATGGAAAATTTAATGTGTCTAGTTGGGTCAAATTTAGATTTAGGTTTGGTAGAATAGGAAAGTTAGTTCTTTAGACAAGCAGGACTTAAACCTGGGAAAGGAAAAGAGGATAGGAAGAATTGAGTATGATGATAACCTGGGCAACTACATTATTTCATGAGACCTAGCACTGTTTCTTTGAACATAATTTTTCATAACCCAGTAACTTGCCAAGTTGATCAGAAATACTTATTATCAAATGGTTAATTATGTGTCAAAAATCTATTTTTGTTCTTTTTGTAATGGGCAAAAAATATTAATCATAGAGTTAAGGAAAAATGCTACTTTTTGTAACTCCTGACTTCTTTGAGGATCAGAAGATATTGGGGAAATGTTACAGTTCTATTTTATCCCTAAAGTACTGGATTACACAATATAAACTGATGCAAACAAAATTAAACTTTTCTCATCTGATTATTTTTTTCCTACCTAGTAAGTTGTAGTCTTTAAATTTGGCAGGATAAGGATAATTTGTGCAACAGATATATTTTTTTAACCTATATAACTTCAAATAAGCTGACTTAGTAGTTTGGAGTATGAGTATTTTTATTATAGGAAAAACTGTATTCACTTACATATCTCTCATTTTCCTTAACCATCTTGGAGTACCTTATTTGGGGAAACAAAATCAGTGTATACACAACAGTCACAGAAATATTTATTGTTATATTTTGTGGTCCTGACTGATAGAGAGTCAGAAGAGAGATCAGTGTAGGCTGAAGTACTTGGAAGAATGATTCATAGAGGAGGTAAAGTTTAAACTGGGCTTTGGGCTTGGACTTTAGATAAATAGAGCAGAAGAAATGGGCTGGAGTTGATGTAATTTGACTTTGTTTGAAGAAATAAAATGTACGATGAAGATTTGTGGTCCCATAGCTTGCTTAGACTTGAGTCAAGCAGAAACCATTAATTGGTTCTTCAAAAAGACAAATGATTTTATGAAAGCAGTGTTTAAAAGATTAATTTTGCAACAATATTTAGCATGAATTAAGGTAGCTCCCTAGAGAAAAGAGAATTTAAGTACCAGTGTCAATGGAGAGAAAGCAGATCTAGGATGCTTTTTGAAAGAAGAATGATCTTATGGGTTTGGGAAAAAGTAAATCACTAGAGTTTTGAAAATTGGTGAATGGTGAAATAGTTGGTAAGAGCAGCTTATTTTATGAAAGCTGACAGTGTAGTCTCATTGGAACGTTAAATAGTAAAGGTTTTTCTGGGCATGTTGAAGTACTGTCAAGAGCCTGGATGAATGTCTTTTGATTTTAAAGACTTAGGTTAAAGGATTAAGATAGTAGCATAGAAGAATTACAAGTTATTTGTAATATGCAGTTCTAAACCTCAGAAATAACTTGTTATCCAACTAAAATAAATTTAAGAAATAAAGCTCATTTATATTTTCTTTTAGAGTATTAACTGCTTATTATAGAAAATTTACAAAATGCAGAAAAGTAAAGTATTCATTTACCAGAGATTCTTAGTTATTTTCTTTTCTTCATCTTTCTCTAGAAGAAATGCTTTAAAAAAAAATTGTTGTGATTATACTCTGAATAGTTTTGTGTCCTTGGTTTTTACTTAAGTTGAATTTCTTAATGTTCTACATTTTTTATGGGTGCATTTAATAATAAATAATAATATATCACTGTGGTTTATGTTCAGTGGTTAATATTTTGAGTAAATTAATGAGGACTTGCTTTGAACATTTGGAAAAGGGAAAAGTGGGGCACTGCCAAATTGGGACTTGGCTGCAAAGGAGGTTTGAGAGGGAAGAGTCACATATGATTGGCATAGCACCTGACAACATAAGAGTTGCTTAAAAATATAAATGGTTGAATGAATGTATGAATCCAGAGGTTTCAAACCTGGAAACATAAGTTTTTGTTAGCTGAGGGGGAGCAGGTATAATAGGTGTGTTTATTCTTAATATATTTGTTGCTCTTTGCCCTCACCTTTCCCATTTCTATAACTGCAAACATTACTAATAGCTCACAAAGGTTGAACATCCCTGTTTTAGTCACCTTTTACGTTGCTGTGACAAAAATACCTGACAAGAACAACTTACAGCAGGACAGATTTGTTTGGAGCTCTTCTTTTCAGAGGTTTCAATCTGTAGAGGACTAACTCCATTGCTCTGGGCCCCAGGTGAAGTAACACATCATAGGGGAAGGGCCCAGTGGAGGAAAGCTGTTCTGCTCTTGGCAGGGTCAGGAAGCAGAGAGAGCAGTAGTGGGGAGGAGGCTACAGAAAAGATACACCCTTCCAGGGCACAACCCCAGTGATCCACCTCCTCTGGTCATACCTCACATGCCTACAGTTACCACCTAGTCATTCAAACTAGGATGGAGTGATTAGGATATGGCTCGCATATTCCAATCATTCACCTCTGAACATTCCTGCATTAATACTGGACCTTTTGGGGAACACTTCATATCCAAACTATAATACGAAAATTGGAAATATTCAGATATCTGAAATTTCTTGAACACAGACATGATGCCACACGTGTAAAACTTCTACACTTAATCTCACTCTACAGGTGGCAATCAGACCTGCAGGTGCATTAAAAATATTGTATAAAATTACCTTCCAGCTGTATGTATAACGTATGTCTGAAACATACATGAATTCTGTGTTTAGGCTTGGATTCCACCCCGAAATACCTCATTATGTGTATGCAAATATTCCAAAATCCCCACCTCACCCCCAAAAATTCAAAATTGGAAACACTTCTGGTTTCCTAAACATTTTTGATAAGGATACTCTACCTATAATACTCTTCTACTTGAACCTTTCATATGTAAGTATGAAGAATTAGTAACACAAGGTTAAAATATTGTTTTAAAATTCTGATTTATAAAATGCCATTGAGGAAATATTCTAAATCTTGGTGGATCCTCTCATAGGAACAATCTGACATGGTTTAAAGACAAATTTTAAAGCAACTTTATTTTAGACATAAAGTAAAGGTTAACTGGTTAAATTAAAGAATGTCATTTAAAAAAATAAGATCTGATTTCATGGAATAGCCAGATCTGCTTTTAATGACAGTAGGCTTCTATGTTCTCATACCCCAGGCCCTTTAATATCATATTGCATTACAGAAAGTTCCAGCTATTTGAAGAATCTTTTGTAATAAAATATCCTCCTCTCCCCCAAAAAATTGTTTTTAAAGGTAAACATTTATTATAGCAATCATACATTGCTTAAGAAACTTCATTTAATAACATTAATGTATATCAGGGCAGTATGGATTTAATCTCTGTTTTTTTTTTTTTAAAGAAAATAGTACTTTTTTGAAGGAATTCCTTAAGTTATGGGGAAAGATTAACAATTATTAATCAAATAGAAAAACCTACTATCTGTCTTTTCCAGAAGGGAAAAATCTGTTTATGAAACAATAACAGAACATTTTAAATTCATCTTGAAAAGATCTTAAAGTTATATTTTCAAGATTTAATCTGGTTAGGGCTCAAGGAATTTGAAGAGAAAGGAGAAAGTAAATTTGTGGGAGAGAAGGGCTGAGCTGTTGACAGTGTGTTTTTATAAGCAATAAAATTATTACTAATGTAATAAGCATAAGAAGAATGGAAAAATTGTTTTGAATGGCTTAATAATAGAAGTAATTTCTGCCCATAAGTTTTTACTTAGACTTGCAGGAAATGCCTTCTCTCAAAGGCACAAATACATTTTCTTGTATTTAGCAGGGGCGCAAAAACAAGTTGTATAGTATCTTAATGAGTTTTAGAGGGCTTGGGAATTCATCAGTTAGCTGTGATATTTGACCTTTAACGTTCTTGGCCAACATGCCAATCTGGCACTTACAATATGTGCCACAGGAAGGAATGCTGCTATTAACAGGAAGTCTTTAGTTGGAATACTAAAAGCAGATTGAATTTCTTTGTTTTGCACTTAAATAATTTAGTTCCATGCAATTTTAAATAAAAAATTTAAAAAATATTTTTTGAAGCTTTAAAGGTCACAGAATTGTATTATTTTAAAAATCAAACTAAAAAGTGTTAGGTTTACAAAATAGTGGATATATTTACTCTAGTAAACATGTAAATATGTAGTTAACCAGAATCATTTTTTGAGGAGAGGTTGACAATCTTTAGAGATACTTTCTCTGTAATTACTTTGCATAGGAACAGATAAAACAGTTTGGTTCAATACTGAGGTCTTTTTATCAACATCCTAATTGTAACACTGGCCGTAATGTTTAGTAGTTACTACTGTGGACCTTGTGGAACTTCATTAGAGTTCCAGATTCCATTTTTTTTCTCTGTAGGTAGTACAAAACCAGAATTTTTTTGACTTATTTATAAATGTAGGTCTCATAAGTATTTTTCTTCTTCTATGAGGTTAAGTTTTTTTGAAGATATTTCAGTGAAAGATTAATTAAGACAATGCTTTCTTCATCTTTAGAAAATCATGTAATTAGCTTGCAGTGTTTTACTTTATATTA